TCCAATGATTAAGAACTTATATTAGTATTAGTATCGATAATTATATATATAACTAATGCATATTTTGGAATAAGAAGTTAGTCGACCTAGGATGGTTTGGATGGTCTAAAACGTGTTAATTGATACAAACTCGTATTTGTGTAGCCAATAATAGTATAAGCTTTTAATCATTGAAATAGAAATATATATATACATATATATAATTTTTTAATTTGTGTACATTATTCCTACTGCGCTAAGTCAGATACGCGCTAGTCCCAACTATTGTTTTGGTTGAATTTAACCCTTTACCGACCCAGTTTGACAAGCTTTATAATTGAACATCTCATCTCGACGTAACTCCTTAATAATATCATGGCCAGGCAGAGTAGTTTAAGGTGATATACAGACTTTTGGTGAAATTGTGATCAACTGAAGAGGTAGACTGAAAAAGAACTTTTGAAATCAAAACAGGTACAGAGACGTCTTTTATGAAGGCAGCAGAGCCGAGTAATTGGAGATTGAACTTACCGAGGCAGCTCTGCATGCGAGGCACGTCTCCAGCCATCGTGGCAGTGAGGAACTCGCCGATCTGAGCATGCCGCCAGAGAAGCCGATGCAACCTCGACCAGTCGGCCTCCTCCGAGTCCTTTCGTCCGCCGTCGGCCTCGGACTTCGCGGACCGTCCTCGTCCGACGCCGCCAGTCGGGGCCGTTCTCGGGGCTCGCAGGTCGGAGACGAGCTGCAGAGGCGTCCGGCCGGTGGCGCTGGGCGTGGCCAGTCGCGAGGGCAACCAAGTCAGCCAGCGGTCGAGCTGGTGCAGACGAGTTGAGAAGAGCGTGTCGCAAGAGTTCGGACTCGAGCCCGAGGCCGCCTGCAGTACGGCCTCGAGCAGAGGCCAGAAGCCGACGACGCGCGAGACCAGTCGGTGTCTCTGCGGGTTCGATGAAGGTGTCGGAGCATGTGGAGCCGGTGACGTCCGAGTCCGCGTCGAGAGGCTGTTCAACGGCCGGTAGGCCTCCCAGGCCACCACTTGGCCCCGTGGAGTGCCGAGTCTGCTGTCGCTACCTGAAAACGAGACACATGGCCTGGCTACA